TGCTTTCTTGGTTGTCATGTGTACTCTTAACACTGATGGGGATTGATTAGTGGCCACTATGGAGTATACAATGACACCCCAACCAACCCCTCTTTGACCATGTGAAAGGTAGAAGAGGTAGTAGTCTAATTATTCTTGCCTGATAGCTAGTCTCCAGCAATAATAAGCAAATTAGTGTTTTGCTGGCTGCTCATGTATTTTCAGATTAGACATGACTAATTGCACATTATTGTATTTTTCTCATGAAACATGTCGTGATTTTGCATACACGCCTTTAATTTGACCACACAATATGTACTATATTCGTCTATACATATAAGATTTTTTTTCTGAGATGCGTAGTATATATACCGTGTTGTGTGTGTGTAAGGATGAAAATTCAGTGGCAATGAAAGGCTTTTGATGGAGCCATGCATCCATCAAAAGATAAAAATTCATTTGCTTTATAGCATACTAGATGATACCCTACACGTTGTTGTAGGAATCTTGATAAGATTAACATAAGCAAATCGATAAAATGATATTAGAAGATATTGAATATAGAACATTAAATCAAATAAACATGAACTTGAATCAAATCAGCATGAACTGACAATTATTGAGAAAAACATGGCATCTAGGAACTAATGATCATAATATGTTGGTACCATCGATAATTATTGATCCATTTAGCAAGCCTTCGTTAGTCTTTTCTTGTCAGGGAATGTTAACTTGACACATAGTTAGCACAACTATAAAATTGGTGGCTAAACGACTTCTGGATTAAATAGAGAGAATTATGGATGAACTAAAGGAGTAAATGCAAGCGATATAATATATAGCACTAAAACAATCTGAGCGATCAAGTTGAATCCAATGGCCAATAGCAAAGGTATTTTGGAGTAATCTAGAGAGCTAAATTTTGATCTAATGGATGAAATTTGTTGAAATGATTTAATACATATGAGAGGAGAGAAAAATCGCTTTAATTGTACTTAGTGGGGATGGACTTTTTATATATAGGATTAATTTTATGCTTAATTAATGACATGTGAAGAGAAAAAAAGTGATGCATGCATGCTCATAGCGTGTCGATTGTGGCACTATTATTGCGTTGCATTCAAGAGACCATACACACACAAAATGAGAGGCAGTCATGTTCACCGTCACCTCTTAAGTCAACACATCGTTGAATGTTAAGTTCATTTTAGTTGTGCCATCTTTATTTGATGATTTGGACATAATTTATAGATACATGTGAAAGAAAGAAAGAAAGAAAGAAAAAATACAGTTGATTCTTGGTGATACAACCATGTAGGCTTATGACCTACAATTCCAAACAGAACACAACCACCTAGGCTTTTAGTTTTGCATATGTTATATGTGTGTCTTCTCCAATCGACTCAATATAAAGTTTTTTTTCTTAAAAAAAAACTTTCTCCATTACAAAATACTAGAACTTTGGAGGTTGAATAACGATATCAAGGAGAAAATAAAATGGGAAATAATTGTTGCGCGCTACTCAAGATGAGAAAGTAGCTAGGTGAAGAAACTGAATGAAAAATGGTTGTGGTTGCTTAAAAGTTATATGGAGGGAGTCTAAAATCATATGGAGTTACCAAGACAACTATTTATATGTGTCATAATTGAAGAGTCAAAAGTAGATGGTTGCACGGGTCAACTCCCAAGTCAATCCATAATGGAGTGTACTTTAAGTTGATAAGAAACCATACAACAGTTATGTCATATATATTTAGGTTGTGTTTAGTTCACGCTAAAATTAGAAGTTTGATTAAAATTGAAACGATGTGACGGAAAAGTTAAAAGTTTGTGTGCGTAGGAAAGTTTTGATGTGATGGAAAAGTTGGAAGTTTGAAGAAAAAGTGGTTTAGTTTCCAATTTTTTTCCCAAAAACATCACATCGAATTTTTGGCACATGCATAGAGCATTAAATATAGATAAAAAAAATAATTGCACAGTTTGCATGTAAATCGCGAGACGAATCTTTTGAGCCTAATTAGTCCATGATTAGCCATAAGTGCTACAGTAACCCATAAGTGCTAATGACGGCTTAATTAGGCTCAAAAGATTCGTCTCGCGGTTTCAAGGCGAGTTATGAAATTAGTTTTTTCATTTGTGTCCGAAAACCCCTTCCGACATCTAGTCAAACATCCGATGTGATACCCAAAAATTTTCTTTCCGCAAACTAAACAGGGCCTTATAGCGATATTGATGGATGGAAAAGAGATAAAATGGGCAGAGAACATAAGAAAAATCTTGATGAAACAACTATAAATATATATTTAAGGTACAATGCTTTTTTTTTTTTGCTGAAATTGTATCTCTCTCCTCCCATCGACTTTAGGTAAAAAAGAGTCATCCACATATGACTAAAAGGAGCGCATTATAGGGTTTATTAGTGTTTTCTTTTACTTACATGGAGGATCTGAAGTCATCATAATCATACCCTCTCTACTTCTCTAGAGATGGACCAATACATATATTAATTATCTTTTAAGTATATTGTCAAAATAAAAGAAAAAATTACAATTGAAAAAGTACGACTCCCTCTGAATTGATAATACTTTTGTTTCGAGGAAAAAATAACTTTGCCCACTATTTTTTAATAATATATATATAGAAATATCAATAAATATATGATTTAATTGAAGTACCTTTTCAGGCTAATTTAGGTTTTCATTATTTGTAAAACAAATAGTTTAAATGTTATTCATAATCAAAGTTTTTGAAGTTTAACCATGGTTTTATCCAAAATGACAAGTATTATCAACCTGAAAATAATATTTACCAACTAGATTTATTTTAGCAATATTTACCACTTGTGTCGTCAGGTTTTCTTCTTCTTCTTCTCGCCTGCATACATTTGTCGGAGGGTGAACTCCTCCACCAGAGAACCGTGAGACCCCCTTTTTTGGTTCGGCCGGGGGCAGCGGGTGAGATTCGATATTCCTGTGTAGATGTGTGAAGATGGGGTTGAACCCCCAAAAAAGATCTCACCCAAGGGGTTTATACAGGTTCGGGCCGCTCAGAAGTGTAATACCCTACTCCTGTGCTTGGTTGATTGAGTGTAGAACACAAGTGCTTGAGGTTGCGAGACAAGCATGAGTTCGCTAAGAAGTTCCTCTCCCTCTACCACTAGGCCTGGACCTCCTTTCATACCTCAAGGGGTTACCACATGGGTCCAAAAACATAACTTAGTGGAGAAGGATTACAATCTTTGCATTAAATGCCTGTCTTGTCTCTTAACTTGGGAAGCAAGCGCACGTCACCTTGATGACGAGGCTTGTCAAATCTTGCCGCCTGACACGGGGGGTGCTCCTGTCAGTCGCCATTTAAGGGACGAAGACTTCTGGGCTCCTGTTTGACCAGAGCGGATAAACCGACTCCGGCTACGATGAGAGACTAAAAAGCCTAAGACTTATGGGCTCCTGTTTGACCAGAGCGGATAAACCGACTCCGGCTATGATGAGAGACTAAAAAGCCTCTCATTATGATGTGATGGGACAGAGCACGCCGCACGCCGCCTGGCATACTCACAAGGCGGGGGTACTCAGCCGCCGTTGCATCGGCCATTCGACCGGTCACGGACTGGTCACAGATCGGTTGAGTGCACTGCAGATCGCATTAAATGTGGCGTGACGCAATTGCTCAGGTCGCCATAAATGCGGGTAGGTGGGCGCCTGGAGGCGGCCACCTAACCCACCGCACGTGGTGACCAAGAGAGGGGGTCGAGGGGAGCCCGACCCCTAGTCACAGGAAGGGGCGGCCACCGTCCTACCTTGGGCCCGATCCCTCCTCGGGGAGGGCCACGTGGCGCCTGGGGGTAGCCTCCTCCCTCCAGTCTTGATCGGGATGGGCCCGACCCCCAAGCGAGGAGGGGGCAACCGCCACTCCACCTCGGGTGCTGCCCCCTCGGGGAAGTGTCACGTGGGTCTGGGGGCAGCCTCCTCCCTCCAAACTCGGTATCCTAAGCTAAGCTGGGAGGGGGCGGCCACTGCTCCACCCGGGCGCCACCCTTCTCGGAGGCGCCATGTGAGTTTGGGGGTGGCCTCCTCCCTCCAAACATGATACCTCCGGGCCCACATCACCGACAGCATTAATTAGGACTATGCCGTGTCCGGTACAATCTTTGTTACTCATGCTGTGTCCGGCTCTCTTCTAGCGACGCTTCAGGTGGATCTGTCCAATCCGAGACATGGACACGCGAGACATGGACACGCTATGTTTGAATTCACGTGCACGCACAAATTCTCACTATTTACCAACTAGATAATACCAATAATGTGTTTTGAACACACAACAAACTAAACAGCCTCTCAAAAAAAAACCACAAAACAATCACTACGCATCACCTATATTCCATCCAGCCCTACATAAACCATTAATTTATTGTTTCAAACCACACGTAATTGATACACATTACCATCACTATCAACCACTCCTATAGAGAGAAAAAAACTCTACAATAACAATTACTACCTCCGTATTTTAATGTATGACGCCGTTGACTTTTTATCCAACGTTTGATCATTCGTCTTATTTAAAAAATTTATGTAATTATCATTTATTTTATTATGAGTTGATTCGTCATCAAATGTTCTTCAAGCATGACATAAATATTTTTATATTTACACAAAATTTTTAAATAAAACGAATGGTCAAACGTTGATAAAAAGTCAACAACGTCATCCATTAAAATATGGTGGGAGGGAGTATGATTTAACCTAATTCTCCACACCACATGACACGGTAATAATCCCGGTTGGTAGGTAGCCGGTGGTGCAGCTACACCGAAGAATGTAGACGGAAATCTGCCGTGGAAGACAGGCAAAAAAAAAAAAAAAAAAAAAAAACGAAGACCCATTCAACCCAACGTACCCAAGACGCTGACCTGATCAGCGATCCATCACCAAAATAACACTCCGCCCCTCCATTTCCCCACTATTTACCATTCTGCCACTAGCCGAGGTCTCCTCCTCCTCTTCTTCTTCCCGCTGCTTCGCCTCGCGCTCGCCATGGCCGGCGACCGAGCGGAGGAGGAGGAGGGGGAGGCGCCGCCTCCGGAGGCGCGTGCCGCGGCGGCGGTGGAGAGGGTGGCGGCGGATTCGGCTGCTGGGGCCCTTCGTGGAGGAGCTCCGGGAGCGGAGGCGGGGGGAGGGGGAGGGGGAGGAGGAGGAGCGGGCGCTGGCGCCGCTCGCCGACGCGCTCGAGGCGGCGCTCGCGCTGCTCCGGCTCGGCCGCGAGGGGAGCAGGATCTCCTTGGTATGTGCGCGCGTGTGGGTTTCTTGATTTTGTTCGATTCGTGGTCCTGGCTGCCTTTTTGGGAGGAACTATTATTATTATTATGGATTGGTGATTTGATATTATGACCTGTTCTTAGGTAAAAATAAAGTGCAGCTTTAGTTATTAAGTTTATTATTGACTTTAGTCTCCTAAAAAAAATTAAGATTCTTGGATGCAAAAATATGATTCTGATTCGTCTACTGTGTATCCGTGCTTAATTTTTGCTTTTATAAATCGTGTGGACTAATATTAATATATATTGATGTGCAGTTGTTTGAAACACAAAACAAATTGTAGGGGTCGTGATTGTTAAGTGAGTTTTCTTTTGTTTTAGCATAGGGGCTTTAGGATGATTTAGTTGCTGTTGCTTATTAATCGCAAAAAAGAGAGAGAGAAAGGTTTCCATAATTTTATTCTGCAGCTGTGTTGTATTTGTTCAGCTAGATTTCTTGTTGAGCTGAGATTGCTTCTTGTTCAATGCGACCAATATATGTTCTTCTTTTGTGGTGCAATTTTGGTAGGGTCCATAAGTTGTGGTCTTTGGGGGCGTCTGTAACTTGGTTATTTCAGATCAAACTCCTTGCTATTTTTTTTTGTGGATCTACTGCGAAACTTGTCATCTGTAAATGATCCATGCATTCTCATTTCTCAGGGCATCCATGAGTTTGTCATAGATTTGCTGTAGAATAAATGCTTGGACGGATTCCTCCATCGGTTTCTTTACTTGTTGAAACATTCAAGAATCTACTTGCCCTTGCCCTACATCCTTCATGGTTGTACTCCACATGTTATTCCCCATGGTAAAAGCACGGTTTGTTGTGTGGATTAGTTGGGAGAGGCAACGGATAGACATATGATCATGTCTTTCTCCATGGTAAAAGCAAGATTTGTTGTGGATTAGTTGGGACAACCATATGATCATGTCTTTCACTTTCTTGTGTGTTGTTTGTAGTGGATATTGTCTATAGCTTTGAATTGTTCTTTTGAGGAGAGGTATGATCTTCCAGTCCTGAGCAATTCAACTGCTCCTTTTGGATCATAAATTTCACCTCTTGAATCATTATCTAGCCAGTTTTTCTGCCTACCAGTATGGTACATCAAATCTGACCGATTGGAGTACTATGTTCTTTTGTCAAGTATAACTGTATTATTATCTGTATGGTATATCTAATCATAACAGACATTTTCATTTTTCTATTTTCACTGGGACAAAGAACTTGTACTAATTGTTTGCTTTACTTTGGTCAAATCTGGTTGACTGTATCTGTTGTAACTATCAAGGCCTCAAACCCTTCATCGAGTCCGTGTTATCAATGGGATGCTTTATGAGTGCTATGACATAATATTGGTAATCAATAGTCTTTGAACATTATTTTATATCTTGATCGCTCATACAACAATGATGACTATCTTGATCGCTCATGCACTATTTTTCCGGATTAAGAACTAACTTCTGGCTGGGTAGTTGTTGAAATTGTTCAGGAGTTGAATAGGCCACGTGCTTTGTCAGAAAATTAAATAGCAGCAAGTAAAAGGTTTTCTGGAAGCTTTCATGTTAAATTCTTTTTATAAACTAGCAAATGAAATGGTCTGAAGAAGCATATTTTCATTTTGGAAGTGCAATATTGCTTAGTAGAGAGTAATCAAATTGGGTTCTATACCTACCACTTAATGCTCGCTGAGTACATTGACCCAAAAATATTATTTCTGAGCACAATAGGTTTCATTAAACTTTTATACTGAAATACAATAAGTTGCCGCAACCAGAGCAGATCAACAAAATTTGTCATTAGAGAACTTCAGATGATCGACATCATAACTATATTGTTTGTAGGCTCAAACATTAAGGTCCCCACCAGTGGATTTCTGCACCCGTTGAAAGTGTTTTTCTTTTTTGGCCTGTTGGAATGCCCATGTACCTGATGATAGGACTACCTCTATGACTCACCGACTATATCTTTTACGGCTGTGCATAGGGAAGGGATGAACCTACAAGTTAGAAATATGGTAGTCATTGTCTAGTTTTCTTTATGTGACTATCAAACTCATGTATTGATTCAACGTTTTCCTTCTTCAACTCCATTTTGATGTTATTGAAAGTGCTTGCTCATTTTATTCCCAAGCTCAGAAGCAAGGGATTTTCTTGATTATATTGGTGTAGTTTAAATTTCAGGTTGGTTTTCTTGCTCTTTGCTTCAGTACTTGAACCACAGGCCTCTGACTGTCCATCCTGTAGCTTGTAATGTTTTTATATGGTGCTCTTAATGTTGGTGTTACTCTATCTCTTTTTTCCCCTGCTTTACCTGTATTCTTATTGACCTTTGATTACCATTTTGTTCTTATTATAAATCATTTTTTATAAACATGCTTTTCGAAACACTAATTGCTGTGGATTTGTTTCTGTACAACCACTTGTTTAGCTAAGGAGCCTTTTCTTTCTTTCTTTTCCCATTCTGGTTTGCAGGTTCTTGAGAGGGACAGCGTAATGAAAAAGTTTCAGGGAGTAATTTTGCAGCTGGAACAAGCTCTGTGCGACATTCCGTACAATGAATTGGATATATCAGATGAAGTTAGAGAGCAGGTAACGATGACAGCACACTGAAAAGAATTCCTCTTGCTATTATCATTAAGCACTTAAATCCAGCATTGGAGATAATTATCCAAATCCTGTCCAGGTTGAGTTAGTGCACGCACAGCTCAAAAGAGCAAAAGAACGGATTGATATGCCTGACGATGAATTCTACAATGATCTACTATCTGTATATGACAAGAACTATGACCCAAGTGCAGAACTGGCTATTCTTGGAAGATTGTCAGAAAAGCTACACTTGATGACAATCACCGATCTCACGCAAGAATCACTCGCCTTACATGAGATGGTCGCATCCGGCGGTGGTCAGGACCCAGGAGAACACATTGAGAGAATGTCAATGCTACTGAAGAAGATTAAGGATTTTGTGCAAACACAGAACCCTGACATGGGGCCTCCTATGGCTTCCAGGGTATTGGATTCAAATGGGGATTCAAGGCCTATAACCATTCCTGACGAGTTCCGATGTCCAATTTCTCTTGAGCTGATGAAGGATCCTGTTATAGTGTCTACAGGGCAGGTAGCAATCTCTACCTCTTTATTTTTAAGACCCAAAGCACAATGCAACTAAAATAGTTATTTTAGTATAAACATTTTTTATTTGTTAATTTGTAGACATATGAGCGGGCATGCATTGAGAAATGGATAGCATCAGGCCATCATACCTGCCCAACCACGCAACAGAAGATGTCAACCTCAGCATTGACGCCAAACTATGTCCTTAGAAGTCTCATTTCCCAGTGGTGTGAAACCAATGGGATGGAGCCACCAAAGCGCTCAACCCAGCCTAACAAGCCTACGCCTGCATGCTCTTCGAGTGAACGTGCTAACATCGATGCTCTGCTATCTAAGTTATGCTCTCCAGACACTGAGGAGCAGAGATCAGCTGCTGCAGAGCTTCGCCTCCTTGCAAAGCGGAATGCAAACAACCGGATTTGCATTGCTGAGGCAGGTGCCATTCCCTTGCTATTGAGTCTGCTGTCCTCATCTGACCTACGGACTCAAGAACATGCAGTTACTGCCCTTCTGAACCTCTCCATACATGAGGACAATAAGGCAAGCATCATATCATCTGGTGCTGTCCCAAGCATAGTCCATGTTCTGAAGAATGGCAGCATGGAGGCACGGGAGAATGCTGCGGCCACACTTTTTAGTCTCTCAGTGATTGATGAATATAAAGTGACAATTGGAGGGATGGGGGCTATCCCTGCGCTTGTAGTGCTGTTAGGCGAGGGTAGCCAGCGGGGGAAGAAGGATGCAGCAGCAGCTCTCTTCAACTTGTGTATATACCAAGGGAACAAGGGACGAGCGATTCGAGCTGGCCTTGTGCCACTCATCATGGGGCTGGTGACCAACCCCACAGGAGCGCTCATGGATGAGGCTATGGCAATACTCTCCATACTATCCAGCCACCCTGAGGGCAAGGCAGCGATTGGGGCGGCAGAGCCTGTCCCTGTGCTTGTGGAGATGATCGGAAGCGGAACCCCGAGAAATCGAGAGAATGCTGCGGCTGTCATGCTACATCTGTGCAGTGGAGAGCACCATCTTGTGCATTTAGCTCGTGCGCAGGAGTGCGGGATCATGGTCCCGTTGCGGGAGCTGGCTTTGAACGGCACCGATAGGGGGAAGAGGAAGGCTGTGCAGCTGCTCGAGCGGATGAGCAGATTCCTAGTCCAGCAACAAGAGGAACAGGAGTCCCAGTCGCAAGCCTCCGCGCAGGTCCCTCCTCAGGCCACCCCTGAGCAGGTCCCGGAAAATGACATCCCTGAACAATTGGACAGCCCAGCGTCTCAATACCCTATGGTTGTATGAACTCGATGATGAGCGAGTCATCGTCGCAATCCTATCAAATGTCGGATTGAGTAGCATCCTGGTCACTTTGCATTCTGCTCATGATTCATGGCATGCCGACCAATTGAGGTTTTTCCACAAGCTTGAACTATAAGGTTTCCATGCTTGTGTGCTGAAACTCCCAGGTTGTGAGAATTTGTTTAGGCAGCCCAGGATGTTGAGATAGATGTGTACAGTTTCTTAAACATGCAGCTGCTATATGTAGACAACATAATGCAAGGTTTTCCCATGTATATCCTGAAGACTGTAATACCATATGTAAAAGAGAAGTTTCAAATGCGGATTTGAGCAGTAAATCTGATGGCTTTACTACTAGTAACTACTCCCTCTGTCCAAAAAGACTCAATTCCTGAGTTTTTTTGTCTAACGTTTGATTGTTCGTCTTATATGAATTTTTTTTTATAATTAGTACTTTCGTTGTTGTTAGATGATAAAACATGATTAATACCTCATGTGTGACTTATCTTTTTAAATTTTTTCATAATTTTTTCAAACAAGACGGACGGTCAAACGTTGGACACGGAAACCTAGAAATTGAGTTTTTTTTTTGGGACGGAGGGAGTAGCTTAGAATTTTTGCTCATGGTTGTTCCATATATAGCGTTCATCAGGTCCCAATACATGTCTCAAGTTACATAATCAGTACTCCCTCCGGTTTGAGACTAATTGGCGTTATGGGTTACTCCCTCAGGTTTGAGTTTAATTAACGTTTTTGCTTTCTCCACTACTCTCTCTTTTCTATTTCTCCAGAATACCCCTCATGCATGCATGCAAACAGAAAAAATGCTTGGAGTATTAATGAGGGGTATAACAGGAAATATGGATCTAATTAATACTTCATTGGTATTTGCCATGATGTCCAAAACGTCACTTAATCTCAAACCGGAGGGAGTATGCATCAGGTGATTGCAACAGTGCCAATAATTGCATCAGGTGATTGCAACAGTCCCAATAATTGTACTCCACCTCTCAAGACAAGTTAATTACGCACCTCCATTTCACACAGTTGAATGGCAATTCTGACTGCAATGTAAGCAGATGCTATTTCAGATTCTCAGTTGAACATTCAATTACTCAATTGTATTATAAATTGGCAAAATTTTACTACTACTCATCTTAAAATATAACAATTTTTAGCTTTGAATCTGGATAAATAGCTATTCAAATTTATAGCTAAAAATGTTTATATTTGGGATAGAGGGGTACAGGATATCTAAACCTTGTGATCTTCACTGTATGGCGTCCTAAAAATGTGACTACTTTTGGTCAGCCTGAAATTGTTAATTACCAGTAGGACACTACAACCATTTTTTTTTTCCAAACGGAGTGAGAACGCACATGGATGCTTATAACCTAACTGGGTCTGGTTCAAGGCTTCAAGGCTTCAAGCTATACCAAAGCCACTCCCCCACCATCCCCTCCAAAACCCTAGAATTTAGGGACGGAGAGTGGCTTGGTTACATGCTTATGGCTCAGGAGCAAAATTCTCCTTTCTAAATATTTCTCTCTCTATTTGAATAAAAATAATAAAATAATGGTTATGGTGTTCCCCAACTAATTACTAGTTTTTGGGATGTCCAACAACCGTGTCATATTTTACCACTATAGCAAATTTTGGTGTTGTATAGCAAATTTTGCTTTATAAATTTCGTAAGATCAAGATATAAGCTTTATGGTAGTGGTCAAAACCGATCCACTCCGAATCCATTCTTAAAACAACAATATCATAGGATTTATAGAAATTCGATAGATATGGATGTGGATTCAGATAGTACTATGTGGATATAGTTATCATGATGGTATGTTGATTATTGCATTACTGTTTATTGTATTGTTGATTAGGTTTTATATGGATTGCATATACACGTAATATCCGACAATTTTAATATGTTTGTAAGCCAAGTCCACACTATTTTTAACATCCAAAACAATACACATCCATATCCGCATCCTCCGCATACCATCCGTATCCACTAAATATGGTATAGGATATGGTATCATCCATCCGTAGCTATTCTTATATGTGGGAGCCATCCGCATGCATGCTATTAATAAATTTAGTTATCCTTTACTCCAAGACATCCTAGGTCGAATGAGCGTGTGGCTCCCAACTAGTAATAGCTAAATTTGTGCTGAATGTCTAAATAATTTGTGATAATATTCGAATGTACAAATAAATGAATTATCTAGTATAAAATTCAAAAATAAAATCGAATTTTTTTAATAAATTCACATATAATGTTTTTTCAAAATATACACCATTAGAAATTTGAGAAGCGTGTGCATTCATCCATTAAGAAAAGAAACAGGAATTCATATTTAAGTACACAAGTACTAAAATTCATATGGTTTTCTATAGCTCAGACAATTAAACGTACTTTCTATGTTCTAAGACAAGCATATCTGGTTTGGTCGATGGTTTCATGAAATTAACTCAACATACTCATTTTGTCCAAAGTATAGCTATTTTTAGAGTTCAAATTTGTATATAGGCCATGTTTAGATTCAAACTTTTTTCTTTAAACTTTCAATTTTTCCATCACATCAAATGTTCTGACACATGCATGGAGCATTTAATGTGGACGAAAAAAATCAATTGCACAGTTTGCATGTAAATCGCGAGACGAATCTTTTGAGCCTAATTACGCCATGATTTGACAATGTGGTGCTACAGTAAATATTTGCTAATGACGGATTAATTATGCTTAATAGATTCGTCTCGCAGTTTTACAGGCGGAATCTGTAATTTGTTTTGTTATTAGTCTATGTTTAATACTTCAAATGTGTGTCCGTATACTTCAAAAAAAATAGCACACGAACTAAACACGGCCATAGTTATTTCTTCACCTACTTTAATCTCAACCAATCATAATCATCTTCCATTTAATTCTCTACCTACTTTCTCGTTTCAACCACTCACAATTTTCACTATTTAATTCCACATATTTTCTTAATTCCCATGAAAACCTCTGAAAATACTTGGAATATTTTTAGACGGAGGAGTATTACTCCCTTCGTCTGAAAATAGTTGTCATTTCTAAGGTTCAAAATGTATTCCAAAATAGTTATCACTTTAAAATCTTACTTATCTCATCAATTACTTTTCATTCATATTTCTCCTTTGTTCTGCCCCAACCACCCTCTTACTTCCAATCATACATTATAATAAGAGACATTGTAGTCCTTTTTATTTCAAACCTTAATCTATGTCTAGTGACAGAGCCAACGGTGTCATCGAGTCCGGATGATTAATAGTGTTTTACAACGATCCCACACGACTAATAGCGTTTCACAATAACCGGCCAATTTTTATAGATATTTATGACATTTGGTAGTGGAGGCGGCAACGGCAGAGCCTGGGTAGCCACTCGACCTGCCTGGCAGCTGTCTTCTCCGCTATCTATTCTAAACAACTTAGAACTATAACTATTTTAGAATGATCTACATTATAGGTCAATCTCCAACAGGGAATCTCACTCTATGTGGAGCAAGGAGGGGGTCAAAAGTCAAAAGTGGTTAGATTGCATGCATGTCACACCCTGAATTTCCTGACACAAACAGACACGCTAACAAAGATGTTGCTCCACATCGGTTGTCACATGACAGCATCTATCTGAGCAATGCTTAACTTGAAGCTGAAGCTGCTGCTTTTGGACTGGATTTAGGCCTATTCTATTTTCAGATTCGGAGATTGTTGAGCACATGGAAGAGGAGGAGAGAAATCTATGGAGTAAACAAAAGAAAGAAATTGTTTGCTTGCACTTTTTGTTTTGTCGCAAGCATCAATCTGTCTGACAAGCGCAGTCGTCGGCCGGTAGTATATTTTTGCATTGGTGTTTGTGCTGCTGCCCTTGCCACAGGCCAACAGACAGCCTTGGATGGATAGCATAGGCTTCCATTCTGATCTAGTATTGCCATCTTTTTGACTGGTTTTAGTATAATTTTGTACTATTTTTAATGGATATAGGTAGATCGAGGATGCGGTGATTGGTAATTGAACTGCCAGATGCCAATGGTAGATATAAGACCAAAGGCTGTGTTTAGTTCCACGCTAAAATTAAAAATTTAAAGAAATTGGAAAGATGTGACGGAAAAGTTGAAAGTTTGTGTGTGTAGGAAAGTTTGATGTGACGGAAAAGTTGGAAGTTTGAAGAAAAAAGTTGGAATCTAAAGAGGGCCAAAATCCTTCTATCCATTATGATTTAGTATTTAATTGTGTAACGTTGGATTACTAAGTGTTTAGTTTCCATGTAATTATTTCTCGAGACGACATGCCTATATTCATAGACACAATGTCTTGTTGATAGGGCGTGGAACAAGAATTTTCTCAAAACTAGACCTATATATTTTTAAGACTAGACCTATATACTAATGTAATTTGCATATTTTTATCTTTATCTTTTATTTCTTGATTGAAGTTTTGAAGTGTAATTTTAATGAGTATTTAGGCTTAGGATTAGGGCCACAGCCCTAACTGCTCTACTATCTCTGGCTAGTTCGGCTATATGCATTCTAAATGCATAAGTCGAAGATATAATTAAAGTAAATGGTAATTAGACGAATATTATGATAGGTATCAGCCATAACCATCATTCTTTTAAAAATGACACCATCTCTTCTAGAATTGATCAGTCAAGTGCTTTTTACGATGACGGTGTTTTTCATCTTTGATCAGAGTGGTTAATTTCTTGGTGACATAAACAAACCTATATTGCAATTCCAAGCATTCAAGGAATCAAGGGTGCATACAAACATGTGCAACTAAGTTAGCAAACTTCCAGTCCCTGCAGCTTTGTCAGCACATTGTCTCTCTTCCAACACATTTGCTGAGAGATGCTCAAAATTATAATCCAAGCTCCATCGCTCCAACCAAAAAACAAAAACTAAAAAAAAATAACATTGGAGAGAATCAGAGATGTGCCATGATTGTGTATGATCTGTCTAGATGGATAGAGTGTGGGCCCAGGGGGAACAGGGGCTCCTCTTTCTCTTTCTTTGATGTGATATTTTTGCATAGGTTGGCCCTGCTGCTGCTTTATTCCCTCCTCATCTCATCTCATCTCACCTCACACCTCAGGAGAAGAGAAGAGAAGAGCTATAGGCTTGCTTCAGCATTGCATTGGAGTTAGCAAAAAGCAGATCTGCCAAAGAACACCCAGATTCCCTCTGATGGTGACTGCATCTGCATCACTTACCATACACATTAAATTAATTAGTTTTAACTTTCTGGATTTTCTCTAGTTAATCACTCTTGATGTGGCACATTGATGAACACAAAATACTTTTCTGAAAAATTGCAACTGGGGATATTAATTGAAGACTACCAAATTCAGATACTCCTACATAGCTTAAGCTGCTGTTTTTTATGGTGTGTGTTGCATGTTCTGGGATTAAAGAATTAATGTGGCACATCATTTGTTGGCAACAAACATAGCTCAAAGCAAAGGTGATCATTATGTTAGGAGTGCTAATGAAGGTCCAGTCTAGCAAGCACATAACTAGAGATGATCAGTGACAAGCTAGCTACCCTGCAGATTTTATGCGTCTACGTACTGATGGATCGATCGATTCCATAATCATTTGAGGCCTAAAGCAATCCAACACTTCATCATCAAGTGCCCAGAATTTCATGTCACCCAACTCCATCTGCAGCCTAGGCCGGCATCGACGGTTTCAGTTATTTTCTGTTCATGTCATTCTTCTGAATTCTGAAAAATAAACTAATATTAATCTGATCTATTCACACATTCTGAAGATGTCTCTACTTTTGATCGGTTTCATCGTCTGCTGCATATGGCCTGTCATTGACTGTACTTTAGATTAGTTTATTTGCAGTTTATTTTTGCATTCTAGAGGCTGCATGGCATGGATCATCTTTCGATCTGAGCAACTGCCGTACACATACAGTACATTAATTTAACATATTTTGGATATATGTGAAGATCAATGTAACATGCAAATCTTGGCAGGCAGCACAGTACATTCTCCATGCATAAAAAGTGCAACCATGTCTCCAGCTTGCTAGCTAGGAGTAGTTAGCTTCCTCTCATGTCTATCAGCATTTAAAACCAAATTTGCAAATTAAAACCAAATTGATCAATATTTGAAATTTTCAAACCATATATAGCTAAAACAATAATGCAAAATGTATATGCGATGTATATCCTGCAAGAATTAATTTCTCATGTCTGCTAAAATAAGAGTATCATTTACGGTGGTTTCTACTGGTAGTATTATACTGTCAGTATTATCATCAATATAAGTGATCTCAACCATTGATTTAGCAGTTCTACTACCAACAGGGATGGACATAGGGGGTGTGCCAGGTGGACACCGGCATACCCTTTTTTTTCTTTTTGGAAAAACACTAGGATGTAGTATGAAATCAAAGGACATAAAAATGGAATCCCCTCTCAGAAAATAGAACATAACAGTGATCACAATTTGTCTAGAGGTCCCGTAATATGAAAATCAATATAATATGAAAATGGACATGAGATTGATTGTTGTGAAATTTACAGATTTTTCATGAATTATGGACCACATTTTAATAGAATTTTGAAAATTCCGACCAAAATTTTTGCCATCAGAATTGTTTTTTTTTCTTGTAGAAAATATGGTGGAGTGATCGCTAGAATGAGCACACCCAATGCAATTTTTCTGGGTCCGCCACTGACTACCAATAGTTGAGTTGGCAGTGTAATTAAATAGATATGATCCATTATATTAGAAAAGAGATGAACGGTATAGTCGAATTTACTACCGGTAGAAACCATTATATAACATCAATATATATGAGTGTCATCTGTTGCAAATAATGAATCTTTAGAAGTTGCTTACACATATACTCATTCAGCTTTAATCATGATGCCATTCTTTTGCTGATGTTTGTGTCGATTCATGCCAGCATTGTATATATGATTGTTTAATCCGATCGATCAGTTCCTGTTCATCATGCATCAAGATCAAGAAAGGATCGCAGCACGCAGGAGACATATATAACCACATTGCGAAGATCACGAAGGACAATGAGATATCATATTTTTATTGCAAGTAGGTACTAATCATACGATCGATCGAGTACTCTGTACTATATACTAGCTACTGCATGTTCTTTGTGTAAAATCGTACTCCCTCCATCCCAAAATAAATCAATCTCGTATGAGATGTGACACATCCTAATATTACAAATATGGAATGTGTATGTCCAAATTCATAGTATTTACGAGGTTGGTTTATTTGGGGATGGAGGGAGTAGATACAACAGTTAGAATGTTTATTCCTTTATCAATAGAAAAAATATGCATGGTATACTGCTTAAATTATTATTACTGGTATATAGTACTAGAACATATCTTGTAGGCAACATATCTAGAGACAGTGAGAGATCATTGGAGGTGCATGTTAATTATCTATATGATCTACATATGCAAATCCACACTAGAGAATCTAGAGGAGCAAGTGTTCAAATGTGCAATGAACTTGCACGGTTCTCAATGGGTACTAACTGTAGAGGTTAGCCATTAGATTAATTACTTAATAATATATTACTCCTATGATCATCTTAACCAATGAGGATAAAGAATCAACAAGAGGTGACAGTCATAAACATCTGAAAATTGATTAACATGTTTAGATGCACAATGGCAGCTTAATTACCAGATCATATTGCAAGAAATGGAGCCTTCCTTGGCCAAGCATTACGATCAATTAAGGTTAAACTTGCATTGTTTACAGATGAGATATATCACATTGTCAAATATAAACCAGAAAGAATACATTGACATTAATTAGTCCATTGCATGATCAGAAACTACATTAAAGAACAGACTAAACACACACAATATAGAGATTTATAAAACAAAATATTACAGACCATATGGATTTCATACCAAAGTTCCTCATGCAATTAAACATAGTATAGTTAAGTAACACCTTAACACCTCTCTCTCATATCACCCCCTCTCCATGAGTTTTACACCTGCAGCATTTCCCCCACTAAATCAGCTGCTAATTACACAACACATTTAGCAGCTATCCTTCAAACTCAAAGTTTTAAAAAACAAAAGAACAGAAATAAAGAAAATAAAAAAGAGCATGTAAAACCCCACAAATTTTTTTAAAAAACCCAACCTAATTGAAGAACACAGCACATTGCCACACATGCATAACCCTAAAACTAAGGGAGACCCTAATTCTGTGGCATCCATGGATTTTCCCGACGGTCACAACACATTCCCCGACGACGATGAGCTGAACCCTGACAAGAACTCCGCCGGCCACCCGCCGCCGCCATTGCCGCCGTGCCAGTACTGCTCGTGCGCTCCGACGAAGCCGCCGCCGACGCCGCCGCCATTGTTGGTGCCGTGCTCCTCCATCTTGACGGACGCCAGCTGCGCGAGGAGGCCCGACGCCACGCCCCTCGGGAACCCGCCGTCGGCCAGGGCGGCGCCGGCGGCGACGTCACCGTCGGCGAAGTGGTAGCCGTGCAGCCCTTGCTGCAAGAACGGCGGCGGCTGCAGGAACGGCAGTTGGTGGCCGTGGGCGTGGTGGTGGTGGTGGTACCCCTCCAGCGACGCCTCCAGCGCCGCGGCGGCGGCGGCGGACGACGGGAGGCCGCCGATCAGGTGGTGCGGCAGCAGCGCGCCGCCGGCCTGCATGCTGGCGATCACGTCGGCCGCCGCGGCCGCCGCCGCGGCGGCGGCGCTCGAGGTGGTGGCCGTCGTGGAGGTGGAGGTGGTGGATGACGACGACGTGGCCGCCGCCGCCGCGTTCCCGGCGCCGCCTCCCTGGCGCGACGACGACGACGACGATTTCTTGGTCGAGCGCTTGGTGTTGCGGCGGCACCCGCCGCCGACGGGGACGTTGCGGAGCGCGCCGCCGCGCGTCCAGTAGCGGCGGCAAGCCTTGCAGAAGTGGCGCGGCTGCGACAGCGAGTAGTTGTTGAAGTAGCAGAACTTGGTGTTCGTCGAGTCGCAGCGCGGGCACCGCAGCGTGCCGGGCTCCGGCAGCGGCACGCGCGCCAGCCGGGCGCGCTCCGACATCGACACGACGGCCGGCCGCGGCTGCTGCTGCTGCGCCGCCGCCGCCGGCGCGCTCGCCGCCGTGTCCGCCGCGCCGGCGGCGCTCGGCAGCGGCGCCAGACCGGACGGCGGTGGCATCAGGTGGTGGTGGTCGCTGCCGCCGCCGCCGATGAGACACTGGAGTGGCTGCTGCTGCATCTGCATCAGTAGAGATCAGCTATAATCAGAGGAGAAGAACTAATAAAGGGTGAATTTAATTTCCTTTTTGTTTTGATGGTAAAAGTGAACTAATTCAAAGCATGGTATATTCACGAACATGCTTAGGAATTAGGATTGATTCAAATGCTCATGACAGAATGAAGAAACTAATTAAGAAAATTGTGATCAAATGATATAAAGTGTATCACCAAATGAAATTACTGATCAATATGTTATGGACAATTGAAGATGATTCTACATGCATATATATACATGATAAAATGAAATTAACCAAAACTTTCAGATCAAAATCCAAATAAAATCCATGAAGTAGCTAGTGGCCAAGATCAGAGAGAGATGAATAGAATTGAATGGGATAATTACCTGAGTCCAATTTGGAGGGTCTAGGAAGATTGGAAGCGAGGAGAAAACCATGGTGATATGATGAACAAGCCTCTCTCTAGATCTCCTTCTTCTTCTCTTCTTAAAAACACTACTAGCTCACAGTTTCTCACAGGTGAAAGAAGAAGCAAGAGTGTTAGGAAGAAGGAAAACCACAAACTTCTCTTTCCAAATGCTCTACACCACAACTAGTGCTGTGTCTTTTATAATTTATGTGGCATTCCTTAGCAGCTAAGTGAGAAATGAGCCAGTAGTATTTCAACTATGCAAGAGATAGAGAGAGAAAGCTAACAATGTTTGCTATCTATAGCTAGTAGTGGAGTTGGATGTCAATGTATGTCATGACTCACATGAGAGAGAATTGAAGCAAATCAAAAGGTGGCTAAGCTAGCTATAGCTGCTGGGGTTAAAGCAAGGAGGCAAACCCTAACAGTAGGAGAGAGAGAGAGATCTAGAGAGAGAGTGAGAGCCAAGCTAGGAGCTAGTGTGTTGTGTGGTGAGATGAGGAGGAGGGTGACATGCTAAGGAATTGAAACATGGATGGTAACAGCAGCCAAGGGGAGGGCTCCAGCACAAAAAAAATATATGGTGAGATGAGTGAGTGAGATGCTCATGAGATGAAGAGAGTGAAGGCCCATCAGCTCTCATGCTGCTGCCTCTGTATTTATACAGCTCCAAAGCTAGGCATATGAAAAAAAGGGAAAGCTGCAGGGTTCTCTTGGTGCCTGCCTCCTGTGCCTGGCCCAGTGTTTGTTCTCTCTGGCCCATAGTCCCCTCTCTCTCTCTCTCTCTCTCTCTCTCTAGTCCCTAGCTACCAGCTAAGCTGCTGCTATACTAGAATTTGGACTATCCTAGATACACATGTTCGTGTATGGGTGTGTTTAGTTCACACTAAAATTAAAAGTTTGGTTGAAATTGGAACGATGTGACATGTGACAGAAAAGCTAGAAGTTTTTGTGTGTAGGAAAATTTTGATATGATGGAAAAATTGGAAGTTTGAAGAAAAATTTTGGAACTAAACTCGGCCTATATATACATACGGATTTACATATGCTAGCTAGAGTACAGTGTATTCATGCTCTTGCAAAGAGATGCACACATATAGTGTATAGCAAGATTGGTTTGATTTATATTTTCTTTCAGTTACATGTACGAAAGACGCACATACGTATACACCACCACATACATTACTCACTCCACACTCACACATCCGCAATTGTGTCCCTAATAATGTTAACACACGCTCCAACAGACAAAGTGCACTGACAAAGTCCTAGATCTAGTAATATTCGTGAGTATAAGGATTTGAGTTTTACATCCACGACTCCACCACTGGTGCTCTTCGGCTCGATTCATGTTGATTGAAATATTATATTATTTGAAGAGAGAAATCATAATTAAATTAATGACAGTCACTTTTAACTTTACCATTAATTTGTTGTTGGGCCAAAATTTTGTAATGCCAAAATTTTAACAAGATCAAGATGTTAAGGTGGTGTTTAGTTTGACACCTTACCAATTTTATTTTTGGTATAGTTTTATGAGTAGAAGTTTCTTACCAAATGTTGGTATGAATTGGCAAGGTTGTGATGGCAAAGTCTCATTTAGTTTGTTGCTTTACCAAAATTTGGCAATGTCAAAATTTAGCAATAAACTGAACCAAAATTTATGTTAAAACACAAAACCAAATTTTGTTAAGACTTCAAACCAAATGCATGCATTCAACTGTACCAAAATTTGATATTACTAGATATTGGTATGGTTAATTTAGAAAAAGAAAACACTAGATATGAAAGGAGAGGCTATCGTATCATAATTTATAAGATAAATAGGGTTCAAATTTGGATCGACTAGCTCACCACCTTGTGATGCTGCCTGGAAAACCTGGGCCTGCCTTTCTCGGTTGATTTAGACAACACTCTGAACATATCTTTGTTAGCAGTCTATGATGGACTGGTTTTTTCTTTGTTGAAAGAAAACAAATCTAAAATTTTTTTGCTGGGATACAAATCTAATAACTTGTCATGACCTTTCGTCGATCAATGGAGCGCGCTTTGGTAGCCAGATGACCAAATTAAATCGTTCGCTAAATTCAGCGATCAATCGGAACTACTATCTAGCTAGCTAGAAGTAAATACATTCAGCAGCTCGTTCAAAAGTAATTCGGCAGACATGCACGCACTAATTAATACTTACTCTATTTCACAATGTAAAACTTTCTAGCAATTCTCACATTCATATAAATGATAATGAATCTAGAGACACATATATATCTAGATTCATTAATATTTATATAAATGTGGGCAATGCTAGAAAATCTTACTTTATTAAACGGATGGAGTATTTGTAGGTTAATTTGGCTATGATTGGAGTCTCCGTTGTGTTGACAAGCACAACTGACGAGTACTGAACTAGTGATCGCACTGATCAGGGCTGATTCAGGCAAAATTCCTCCATAATATTAATAGGCTATTAGGCCGAAATGTGCGTACAGATCAGTACTGATTCTGTGATTCAGATGGATGGAAATATGTTTTTTTTAAAACAAAATTCATGAACTACATGGAAACATGCTCATTGGTTAATTTGGAATCATCATCACCTGAAAGGCTTAATTGGGAAATAATGGGTCATTCATGCATGGTTAAGAAAGAAGCAAAGCTAGGGAGGGAGAGAGGGTAGGTAATTAGGAAAAGACAGGCGATATGATCATCAGGGGTTGGTCGCTAATCAACATCAGAAATATTCCTTGGAGAGCTATAGGGGGCGAGTACTGGCTCGAGGTCCCATGCATATGGTGCCAAAGAGGGAACGAGGAATCAATCAATCTTGGCCTGGAACACTTCTCCTCTCACTTATTAGCTCCATTTTCAAAAATAAGTATTTTCAAGATAGGTACGGATATTAGAAAAGTATATAGAGATAATTAAAAAAGAATTGGGATAGGTAGAGAAGAGAACGTATGTAAAGAGAATGGTTGTGATTGGTTGAAAGGAAAGGGTATGTGAAGAAATAGCTCCATTTTAAAACAAGTTACCGTGTTAAAAATAACTATAATTTAGAATGAAGGTAGCAACTGTCGACGTTTGATGTCGCGATTCCGGTATTTGCAAAGTATGGGGACCGTTGGTACTAGGATATACGCAATACTGAGGTAAAAGAAACGGAGGCGAGGATTTTTATACAGGTTCGGGCCCTTGAATTGTCAGGTAATAAGCCTATATCCTGTTGGCCGAAGTCGGTCGTTGCTCTTATTCACCATAATCACGCAAGTACAATATTTGTGGTAGCCTATCTAACTGTTGTCGACATGACGGTCTGAAGGTCTGACTCGTAGTCGACAACAGGGTAGTCTTCCTCCTCGAATCCGTGTCCGGCGAGATCAGAGACAACGCTAGATCCCTACGGCTGGCGGTACAGGATAGGGTCGATCCAGGCATATCTCTGATGTCGATATCTAGCAGCTTGTCTTGGCGTATGTAAGCTTATATGTTGTCCGTGTATGTTGATTGTGGTGGGTCTTGATTGTATTGGTTGTCTCCCCTCTCCTCCTAGGGGGTCTTGTATTTATACCCATAAGTGTCCCCTTGTCCAAGTAGAACTAGAGAAACCAATATGGATACAATCCGAGTAGTTCTTGTCGTTTCCATATAGAACTTTAGTCATCCTTCCTTGTGCGGAACTCATCCTATATCCGCAGGTTGTTTCCGTATAGGACATGGTATGTGGTGGGTCCTGCCGAGATTTAGTTAACTACTATTAGGTATGTGGTATCCATAACCCTGACAGTAGCCCCCGACTTCAATGCAAATGAACAAGTTCATATTCTCAACCGCAGACCTTGGAGTAACTGTTATCGTGCTCGTGTAACCGTTCTCGGTGAGTTCAGAAATAACATTAGACTTCCCTTATCAGCCTCGTGCGGGTACCTATAGGGTTTGTCTGAGTCAATCTCCGACGTCAACCAAGAAAATCCAGAGCATACGACTAAGTCTCCCGTCTTGCTGTAATCGAGAATTTGGATTGAAGTCAAGAAATTTATCTCGGCGGGTACACCATTTCTTCATTCCGTATTCCTTGTCGAGATCCACCAACCGTTCTCGAGCAATCGAGAAGGCGTAGAATCTGCGACGAAGTCTTGTCAACATTTGTCGTACTCGCCTTAGTCGATCTTGGTGTAGAACCATAGAGGCATGGAGTCCTCAACGATGTCGAATAGAATTTTTCCTGAAATCAATACTCAGAAAAGAATATTAGATAGAAATAGCCCCCGAGCGAACGCTCAAAGGGTGACATGTTATAATATGTATGGAAAAACCGAAAATAAATTAAATATACAGACTAATGTTTTGTGTATGAGCGTCTTCTCTTTTACCGACTCCGATCAATCAGGTTGTAGAGTCATACACTCTCCCTAGCCCCCAGCCTTGTCGTCGGAGAATCATTCTCGGAGGATAAGGCTCTTGGACCTTCAACCTGCCTCGGTTGAACAAACACTGATCCTAGCCCCCAGCCGTGAAGTTGGAAAGTCCATTTCCGATTACACGGCTTGGTTAATACGCACGGCGAGAACTCTTACACGACCAGATCTTACATGGTCTTTCGTCTCTACAGGATCCGACAATGCCTTATCTGCTCTGGGCGTCCCCAGCCGAAGTTCCCTTAGGTTCCTCAGAGGCCTTGTCAAGACGGCGTAAAGGGACATGAGGATATGTTTCAACTCTAGGTGTCATCGTGGTAAGGGATCTCTGGGTAAAACACTTGGCGATATTGTGTACCTGATATCAACTTTGTTGAGGTAGAGGTAGTGGGAGAATCGCTACACCTCTGGTCGAGGACTAGGTAGTAGTCGTAACTCGATCACTTGAAGTAAAGGTAGTGGGAGATTGCTACGGGTTTACTGGTTCGAGAACCAGCGCGTAGAATTATCTCTCGAGCACCAATGGAAGTCGCGGTGTGAGAGATTGCTACGGGTTTACTGGTTCGAGGACCAGCGCGTAGAATTATATCTCTAGCACCAATGGAAGTCGCAGCGTGAGAGATTGCTACGGGTTTGCTGGTTCGAGGACCAGCGCATAGAATTATCTCTCTAGCACCAATGGAAGTCACGGTGTGAGCGATTGCTACGGGTTTACTGGTTCGAGAACCAGCGCGTAGAATTATCTCTCTAGCACCAATGGAAGTCGCGGTGTGAGAGATTGCTACGGGTTTGCTGGTTCGAGGACCAGCGTGTGGAATTATCTCTCTAACACCAATGGAAGTCGCGGTGTGAGAGATTGCTACGGATTTGCTGGTTCGAGGACCAGCGCGTGCAATTATCTCTCTAGCACCAATGGAAGTCGCGGTGTGAGAGATTGCTACGGGTTTGCTGGTTCGAGGACCAGCGCGTGGAATTATCTCTCTAGCACCAATGGAAGTCGTGGTGTGAAAGATTGCTACGGGTTTACTGGTTCGAGGACCAGCGCGTGGAATTATCTCTCTAGCACCAATGGAAGTCGCGGTGTGAGAGATTGCTACGGGTTTACTGGTTCGAGGACCAGCGCGTAGAATTATCTCTCTAGCACCAATGGAAGTCACGGTGTGAGAGATTGCTATGGCTTTGCTGGTTCGAGGACCAGCGCGTAGAATTATCTCTC